GGTACTACACAGAGGATCAGAGGAATGAGGACAGCAACCCACAGAAAGCAAAGGGCACCTGAGAACATGGCTTAGTTCTGACTTACCACATTCTCCAAAGGTGCTGCACCAAACACTTTAAAGACAGGGTTGGGTTTAGAGGGTGAGATACAGAGGACTATAGCTTGCTGTCCCACTCGAGTAGTATATTCATCTAATGTGGCTCGAAGTTTCCTGAATCAGAGAATATGAAGAGAATAAAAAAACAGTTTAAAGAAGATAGAAATTACAGTAACACAGACACAAATGAAATTTACTTTGACTTGAGACAATTTATTCTAATAAGATACGCTTTCTTTTACCCGGAATGTGAAAACGGGAGTGTGAGGTTTGATATGCTTTTCAGCAGAAATATATACATACCTGTCTCTTAAAGACTGATGACTAGACCATTAATATAGTGTTTACTGAGGATTTTGCCTGGGGACATAGCCATGACACAATTTTGAACACATCATCCTTCCTGATGTTAACACCATTTACTGCTACTTACAACTATATTACAGCTGAGATGTCCTCTTATAGGATTTATTATATCATCTCCATGTTTAGTGAAGGGGGCTCAAATGACTTGCTTCCAATATCTTTCATTGATATAGCCATTATTTATATCTCACTAATTTTATCCAAAAATACTACAAGCATACCTCATTTTATTGCACTTCACAAATATTGCGGTTAATTGGTTGGTTTTTTTAAACAAATTGAACGTTTGTAGCAACCTTATCTCAAGCAAGTCTAGTGGTGCCATTTATGCAACAACATGTACTCACTTCATGTCTCTTTGCCACATTTTGGTAACTCTTGCAAATTTTTTTATTATTATTATATGTTACGGTGATCTGTCATCAATGATCTTTGATGTTACTACTCTAATTGTTTTGGGGTGCCAAAACAATTTTTTGACTACTATAATAACGTCCTAATTGGTCTCCCTGCTTCCATTCTTATACCCCTAGAGTCTATTCTCAACACAGTAGCCTCAGAGATTCTTTAAACACATAAGTCAGATTATATCATTGCTTTGGTCAAAAGCCTTCACTGACTTCCCACCTCACTCAGAGTAAGAGTCAAAGCCCTGATATTGGACTATAAGACCTCTTGGTGTGGCTCTCCCCTACTACCCTGACAACATCTCCTCTCATCTCTCCCTGGCTGTTGCTCCAACATGATCACCGCATTCCCACCTCAGAGCCTTTGCTTGACATCCCTTCTGCCCAAAATGTTCTTCTCTTGGCCGGGCGCGGTGGCTCATGCCTGTAATCCTAGCACT